TCCAGTCTCCTCTTCACTGTTAGCAATAATGCCATGGTCAGGCGAGTGCTGGTGTTGGCCTGGAATCAATATAATTCTTCGATTCTAAAGGATTCTGACGAAGGTAGATTGCGTTTAAAATTATTCATTATCAGGACTTTTTTCCATCGTATTTTCTTTAAAAAAACCATGACCTTTCGGTGCTGGTTCTGTCTCTGTCTTCAGGTGAGGGCTGCCTACTCTGTTGGGTCCCTTAGATAGAGCTAGAAATTCAGTATATGATAGCTACATTAATCTAATTACTTTTATGAGAACTTTAGTACAAAATAACACAGATACTTAGACTTGAATTTAATAATTCACATTTGCTCTTAAAGTTCAAATGCACAAACCTGGTACTGTGCTGCGAGTAGCAAAAACATACTGCGCTATAGTAGTGCCAGCGGGGTTTTGTGCCGACACTCGGAGCGCATAGCGGGTTGAAGGGGCGAGTGCTTGCAAGATGAAATTTTGTTGCAATGGTATGTTAGAAGCCACTGAAAATTAAACAAAAACTTTCAAAGTAAGACCCTACTTTAAATTTATTACAGTAACAAGTGCCTCAAAATTTAAACTGGGTACCTTCAGAGAGAAAGCTGCAGTGCTTGTCATTACCCCGAGACATTCGGTAAATGCAAGATGAAAGAAGATGACAATTTGTATCCTGAAGAAAACTTCAACCGAGACAATTTGTATCCTGAAGAAAACTTCATGTTGTGTAATACATAAAAGTTCTTTAAAAAGATTCTATACATCTACAGTACATTTTTCAACTCGTTAGCACGTAAACAGCAAACACGCACAACAGACTTTCGAGGAAAGCAGCTTTATCGTATTATTTCAATGTCAAAATTAAAATATTAATTTGTGTAACATCCCCTTTTAAACATACAAACACGGTACACAACTGTACAAATTACAAAAAATTAAATTACTATATATTTAAGCAAACCGAATTACCTTTTCAAAAGTCTTACGAGAGAGACACTCTGCACATAGAGTTTTATCATCAGAGTGACCTCAACAGTCATCCTGGGAACTACACTGCAAACAAGACGACTAAATCGCTTCCATATTAGGGGCCATGTGACAGTGTTGAGATGCACAAAGCACAAATAATTTGAAATGTGTCAGTAAGTCGCAGAATTAATCACCTTACCTAACTTCCAATTTGAGCCTCCCGCAGTTTCTCTATATTCAACGGCAAAGGATTTGATTTGGCAACCTCCATCTTGCCAAGTGTCTAATAATAACGTAACTGATGTTGTGTTGATTTGGAGAAAACGTTCTAACTTTGGAGCTTCTGGTTTTGAGCCTTTCGTCCTTACGTCAACAACAGAACTGGCACTACCACTACCGATCTTGTTGACGGCTGCCAGACGGAACTGATAATGCGTGCCGCACGAAAGACCTTCGAGAAGCCACGTATTGACAGCCGGTTCCACGCTCAGTTCGTTCCACTCTCCCGTGTCTCCTCCTTCACCCACGGATCGGTACGCCAGCAGGAACTGCCTTACAGCCGCACCACCAGTGTCTCCCTGTTTCCACTGCAATTGTACTGATTTCTGCATCACAGAAGTCACGACCAACACGGGCGCTGCGGGAGGGACTGAAACAAACATCAGCTGGCCATTCAGCAAGGACTATGATATGAATACTACATTTAGGGACGGCCAGCCAGTCAACTCATCAAGAATTGATCGACTGTCTAATGTTCCGAAAGAATATTTTGACAAGGTCTTCGTAAAATTATTTGGGAAACTGTTAAGACAATGTATGAAATAGCACAGATAAATCTCCAAGACAAAATCTGTATTATGAGAAGGCAAATGCACTCAAAATACACATCGGCTTTAAGTCATTTGGAGTTTTATGAAACACTAACTGTAATATATGGAACTTACTTTTTGTTTAGATTTTTAAGCCCAACACAGATGATTCAAATTTATTTTTCTAGCCCGAGTTATTATAATATAAGCCTAATAAAGCCCACTATATCCTGACATACAGTAAATTCAATTATGACTGTAAGATTAAATAAACATAAATAATAAAAAATCATGTTGTAAAATGTTTGTTTCCTGGATTTACCTTGAACTTGCAAGAAGTACATGATCTCATCTGACCCAAAGGTGTTTCGGACATGACAGGAATAATTTCCTTCGTTGCTTCTTAAGACGTTCATAAGGATCAGTGTATTTTCAGAATTGATTTTCATCCTAGTGAACATGAAAGTACAGCGTGTATTTCATCAAATTACCAATAAAGTAAAATTTAAGTTACAATATTTATATAACGTATTGTATTAAAACTAAACAACACAGTGGTTTGCTAAAAATATAATATGGTTTGGATATAACGTAATACATAATACTTTTGCCATGTTGTACTCCGGTAACAAACATCAATAACTTGTATATTAATAACGTCTGGCTTTTCAACCTTTAGGTCACTTAAAATAGGGTTAAGGTGTAAGAAGTAGATATGTAAGAGACAAATGACAGGAATTATAAAAAATTCTGTTTATGTCTAAGACAGTAGGTTAATAAACACTGCTGATTAGCACTAGTCTCTGGGTATAGCGTAATAACGTTCGATACAGTAAATAAAATTTATAGGTTTTGCTTTTAAAATTATAAATTTATTACTTATTAAGTAATTAATTCGTTACAAATTATGTTAAAACAAGTTTCTATTA